TCGAGTGTGTGTGTGTTAACGTCTATTTGCAATACCGATCTTAAATTAGAACGATTAAGAATGCCGATGTCATACTCGGGTCAATGGCTTGATGACACAAGAAAAATCCCTAGCCGAGACTGTCTAAGTTCGTGAACGTTTCTAGTTGAGATAATGTTATGTATGCTTGTAAGCGTGCATTTCGGGTTACGAAACCACTTCTCTACTTTTTAGTCTATGGTCAGTAAGGTTTGACAAAACAAAGAGAGGCGTTAGACTTTTCTAAGAATGAGTTTCAGCTCTGATGCTCTCCATCATATGATGGACGAGAGCTCAGTCTGTTTTCACTCGAAACGAGGAAGAATGTCTCGTCGATTGTGTCAACCTGAACGTGGTTATAAAGCCAACCACTGTAGAAGAGCCGGAATTAGAAGCGGCCTTCTGGTCGTATCGTCCATCGTTCGAGTCTTTTTCATGCACTTTTATACGAAATGTAAGTCTTCCCAACAATGTTGTCTCAGGAGATCCATTGAAACCCAGTTAGTCTTTGTATCGCGAGTAGAAGTCGAGTCGAGCGGGTGCTGCATCCAAAGGTAAATTTGTCTACTCATTTCGTGACCATTGTTATCTGCCTCTTGGTGGCTGGCTCTAGCCACGCTACATCTTCCACCCACTGACATGAAGTTGTGCCCAAGGGCAGACGCCGTGACGGCTAGCAGCCGTGCCTTATGCAAATTCAACAAGTGGCACTGGGTTGTGTGGACGGTGCTGCCAAAGTCAATGCTTAATCTGCCATTGGAGTTTCACTAAGTTTTCTTTTCATCATCATATTGCTGTTGCAGAGGAAAAATAAAAAGGTAGTGGAAAAGAGCGTTGCGTCAAGTGGTTATCATTAGACAGATCAGTTGGCAGAAAAACTTTTTAGATGGCGGAATTTCGGTCTTAAGCCCAGCATTTTCACTTTGTCCGATCTCGTGTTTTTGTTGAAACACTCATCTTCCAATCAAGTGGACTTGGTCTGTAATTAGACGTCATAGCCAAATCTACCGGATACAAAAAGACCGTCAGACTGGATCTGATGTCAATCTTTTTCGTTGCAAGTTGAGACTCGCCTCGTCCATACAAGACGTAAAAGGGTCTGGCATAGTGTGTAGAGATGTGCCTCTTTCGGGGAGAATGGCTTCGTAATCGGTTATTCAGATTGAACTATAAGCATGGCAACAGGGAATGAGCAAAGCTCCAAGTTTCTGTTATGTCGCCATATACAGCGGGAAGCTAAAGTGCCGGTTGGTAAGGCAACGCGGCTGGAGTTTGGAAGCTGACAAGGCAACATGAGAAGGGAAGAAAAAGCAGAAGCCACAGGGACTCGAAGTCGTTGGTCGGTTGACAATCTTAGGGGCGTGGATTAGGCAGCTCTGGTGACTACTTGGCAAGGCAACTTTCATGATGAGGGGATTCGCTTATGTAGATTCAATCAGTCCCATCTCTACCAGTTGACGTCTGGCCTCACTGTAGCCCTCTTGTTGACGCTGTCCTCGAGGCAACCTTTAACGGTTCCGGCGAAAACGTGCTGAGCCCTCTGCACCCCATACTCAACCAATTTTAGCCAACGGGTCAAACATTCACTCTTCGTGAATTTTTTCGTGAGGTACGGGGCGATTTGGTTACTTCATGTATGCGGATGTAGAATAATGCGTGCGTGCGCGTATGTTCTCTCCTGGGCGTTAAAGTGAACTAAATCAACAGTCTTGGCGCTGGGTGATTGGGACAGAAAAACTTTTATGATTTTTTTAAACGATTACTCTGGTTTGTGGGACAATGCTTGTGACGTCAAATGGACAGCTTCGTCGCGGACGACTGCGATGAAATGAAGACGATCTTTCTTTCGTTTTCACAACGATTCACCAACATGGGTCTTTAGGAAACCAGCTTTTATGTCTGAATAAATGGCATTCGGCAATGACTGTTCTACAGCACATGCAGCCGTTGTCTGACGACTCAAGAAAATTGAGTCATAAAGTTGGTCGATATCAATTTGGTATGTATTATAGATTTTCTACGCTAAACTTTCGGTTGGTGATTGACTCCAAGAACCTATCAAGCAGATTTGTACAAAGACCTCCGCTTTTTTGGGTGTCCTACCTTGTGTGGGATTTGTATCTAGATTTATGTCAATATGGTCGACTAACTGCCCTGACGCCTCTATACAAAGGGGCCGATTGAATCGTCAAAAACATACTCCCAGTATGCATTTCAAAGCAGTATTTCCGGCAGAAACGTACAACTCTCGCAGAAAGATAAACCAGCCTATCTAGAATAGAGTTTCTAGCCATGCCAAATCGACAAATTAAAAGACTTTTTTAAACGAAAAGTTATTCTACTTCGTTGACATGATAAAGGACCGGTTACTGAATTTTCCCACCATTGTATGACCAGGCCTTACGTTTCCATTTAATTCCCAAAAGCCATTCTCATCCAGACAGGAAAGGGCTGCAGTTTCAGCCTCGTCCGACCTGGTCTCGTCAGCATTCCCAGCGGGGTCTTAACCGTGATATTGCAGCGTATAATCTCCACACGTTAATCACTACGCCGCATCGCCACAAGCCTCCTGAACGTGCTGATGAGACCCAGGCGAGGACGCTCCTGCAGTCCATGTTCATATGAGTGATAAAAGCTCCACCATCATGGAAGAATTATTTATTTTGAAAGGTATCCTTTCTCAATAAATATGGCCTTGTTTGACCTTTTCGATAGACTTGGACTTGTTTTTTCAAGATTTGTATCTTGGTCCTAGGGCTGCTGCTTACTGGCAATGCAGGCTAGTACTTCGACAAAACGCCTGGGCATTTTCCCAATCAACAGTCCGATGTAGGAAAAACACAAGACAGTTATCACAAGCTACGTCGCTTTGACAACACGATCACGCTGTGGGACTAAGCTGCTCCGACTCAGGCTAAAGGGCGAAAAGAGGCTGCGATTAAATCTGAGGCCACATCCTCTTAGGACCTATATCTGCGACGATAGAGGAGAACAGGCTTAGCTGTACACAGCTTACTAATTAGGCTTAAGGGGCGATCCCAAAGAACCTGGTGGGCCTACCGTTAAGTCGGGAAGTTATGCGCCGCTTCGGCGGAATAAATCGTAGTACGTGAAATAATCTAATCATCGCCTAGCCCGACTCATATCTTGAGCGAGGAAATTTGCTATAGATCTCCTTTAGTGGGGATTTGCATAGGGATCTGATATGTAAAAAGACTCCAGAACTATTGCGGAATATTCCATTCAACTTAAACTTTCAACGGTCCGCCCACGGATTTCAATCCGACAATACGATTTAGCATAGGGACTAATTGGTGGATGTACTGAAGCTCAACAAATGAATGAATTCACTAATTTTTTCGTGTGAGAGTAGATTTTCGAGACTACCAGTAAATCACACAACTGAGTTGTGTTCACCCTATTCCTTTTAAGGTGATGAAGCACTGGTAGTTGGATTTTCCAACAATTATATGAGTAGAGTTGATGTTTTCCATTTAATTTCATATAGCCTTGCTTTCCCAAAAGCTATTATCATCCAGGCTGAAATGGACTGCAGTTTCGATCTCGCATAAGTTATATCAGCACCTCAAGCGGAAGTCGAACGCATAACAAGCTTTGGAATTGACGAATGGAACGAAGTTTGGATCTGAAAAACGAGGGAAACCAGTAATTCTTGTAATTTTTTCTTATTAGATAGTTAAGCAGGGCTATCATAAAAGTGCGATAGCGTCCCGATGACTGGATAATGGCATTGAACTAATATCAACTCCGAGTTGTCTGTTTACCGACTCGAGTGATTGCGCCTGTAGGCCCTTCCCTGCTGTCCCATGCCCATGAATTCTTCTCAAGAATGCGTCATCAAGTAGATAATGAATACGAAAAAAGCCTATTTGTGATAGAGAATTTCGCGCCTCGTGAGATGATTCCGCGTTGCCTGGATTATGCCCAAGCGCCAGTCAAAAAAAAACGATGATACGATTAATGCTATAATATGCTAAAAGCGACATAATGCACTGGGCGTATGTCGAGACTTAAGAGCGGAAATCCTGCTCTCAAAATACACCATGTAAAGTCAATTGTGACAATGGGAAAAAATAGAAAAAGATCGGTTTCTTGCAAAATTAATGTGCCCTCCAATCTCTATAGTGTGGGGCCAACAAAGGAAGAATAGATTAGAATGATCGAAGGAAGAAATAAAAGTAGAAAAATCACAAGTATTAATTATATTAGTGAATCTGGCAATACAGTTATATCAGTTTCTGCATCGAATGTGGAGCATCATGATAACGAGGATGTATAGGGACTAGAAAGTATAAGCAGCAGTAGATATGGATTATAAAAATGCCTAATACCCGAGATTATCTTTGGCTGTAGTGAATTCCACCGAGGCAACGCTTTTCTGAAAGGAAAAGTCAAAAAATAGGCCGGATGATACGTTGAGACAAAATACAAAAGCGATGGTTAAAAGCTGGTCATGATAGGTTATAGCCTAAACCTCGCGTGGGACCTG